AAAAAAAAAGGCAAAGGGAAAAGACGACATTCTCTTCTTACTGGGGCTGGGAGGAGCTGACACTGCAGGCTGCCTTTCATTTTCCCACTCACCTGCCTTTGCTGAAGAGGGACGAGACAGTTTCTGGCTATAGATGTGTGCAGCACTCTGGAAAGAGGAAAAGGGGCCAATGGTGTAACTGCCTGATCGACAGCGTGGCTGGCCAGCGGGGCTTAGTACGTTCTGTGTCCCAGGATGAATGGAGGGAGAAGCACTGTCAGGGACTGTGCTCAGCAACACTGTTGGCTGGTGAGGCATGCTGGGGATGGCTGGAGGAATCTGAGATAAAGAAGCTTGGTGACCAGGCCCTGGTGCGAGGTCAGAGGTTGTAATAATAGATGACAAATGGTTGTTGGGAACTTTCTGCAGAAGATTAGCAGCAGGACCAGAAAAAGAAGCAGAGGAAGGATTTGTAAAGACTAATTTAGTCTCTTTTTCTGCTGAAGTGGTAAGTCCTATTAAAACAAAAACAAGACAAAACAAAAAAATAGATCATTTTAAGAAAAACTGGCATATAATCACAATAAAGCATGAAGTAAACATATTTAAGCATCAACATAATCTTATCATGAAACAGAAATCATGAAAAATACAGACTTTAGTGAGTACTCATCATGAATTTAATAAATTTTGCCTGCGGAGATAACCTGGCAACAGAAAGAGTTTGCTTTTAGTTCTTTCTCAAAGCTGGAGTTGGGACTAGCTCCATTAACCAGCGCAGAAGTTTTACAAATGTTAGGGCATCAGACAAAGTTTCTGGTAGTGACAGCTAACACCTTTCTTCTGCTTTTCAACCTTCTAGAAAAGTGCTCAGAATTTCTAAACACTAAAGTGAGAAATTCCTTGGAAGGAAAACAGGTTCTCAGTAGATTATAGAGGAAATTCTGAGGGAAAAGGAAGAACAAAGAAAAGGAACTTCTTTGGGGTAATGTCTCCTGCTCTCAAATCATTTAATATCTGAGGACTTTTTCCCTTTTATGGATTTATCAGTGAACAGCAAGTCTACGTAGTCTGAAGGCACTCACGAGATAATTTATCAGAGTGAATTTCTGTTGCCTGTTGCTGTTTGGGCTGCTTTATTTTCACGTCTTCCATTGTCTCAGGATGATCTGAAATAAAAGATAAATACTGACCAAAATACTGACCTTAGGCTCTCCTACTAATGCTAGGGCGTCAGTACATACAATTTTGTTTATAAAAATATAAAACATCTATAAACCAACCCTAGAAACCAATCCTATTTCAACCACACTTTTCCAAGGATGGCCAGACCCACTTCTCTCTAGAGTGGGCAACCAATCAAATGATTCCCAATGACCCCCAAAGCCCAGCTCCTGCTAACGGAACCAGGGAAAGACATTTAAATCCCAGACAGCCATCCATGGACTGCCAGCAAGCTAGGACATGCTTGGAAAAGAAAATAAGGACAGTCAGATGCCTCTGCCAAGAACTCAGACTA